TCAGGCACTGGGAGGAACTGCAAAAGCGGCCACTTTGGCTCATGAAGTGAGTGAGATAAGACTCTCCTTGCTACTCAACTCTCGTCTTTAACTCACGGAAGCACCAAACAGACTTTATATCTCTATTGCAGATTCTTGAGCTTGATTCGTTTACTTATCTCGTACTTCTGTTAGACCACAGACATCTCGCAATAATGAAAGTGAGTTGGACGAAAAGCGTCACTCAGAGACGTCACTCAACTTCCTGAGGACATGGCTTTTTAACAAGCCAGAATAATTTCCATCGTTCATCGTTATTATTCATCTCGTAATACATTGAATGCTTCCTCCGTGATCCTTCCTTTTGTCATTCCATTAAATGCCTTCCTTTTTGTACCTAGATTCCATTGGATCCCTCCACCATCGAAATCCCATTTTTATCACTTAAGGGCTTGGCCGCGTTATGGAGAGATTCATCCACTGAGATTCGGTTGCTGGTTGTTCAACTCGCACTCTGTCTTGGAGTTCTCCTTCTGGACCGAGTGCTTGTGAGAATGTTTCTTCGGCCGCTCAGATACCAAAGGCCGTTGAGGTCGCCCACAAGGATCACATAACTGCTGCGTACTCTGTTAGCATGTTGTGGCCTGATCGGGATCTTAATTGGGACTTCTAATTGGGATTCGCCGATAGGAGGGCTGTTGCCAGTTGCGATTCTTTCATCGATGGAAGGACAGCATTTGGTTTCGAAGGCTTCATGGGGAGTCGCGTGGTTGAAAAGACCGGAGGGTCGCTACTTTATGTGCACCGACATAGAGGCGCACCATTTTTTCGTAGTTGTGCTCTCTTTGGCGACTCCAGCCTTTTGAAGCTCTCTTTTCTCTGGTAGAACAGTATTGAACCCATTTTTGATTTATTCTGTTCCTCTTTCGCCCAACTGATGTCGAACTGCTTCAGCTTACTAGAAACAGGCTCTGAGATTCATCAACTGAGACCAACAATTTATGTGGGACTGTTACCTGTCGTTGGGATGAGCAGGCAATCAATTTATAATATTTCTGACTGCCTTTCCTTACTGTGCATCGTTCATCGTCAACTTCTATGCAGAAGCGTGTCAAAGATGCATCGTCATGCATCAAAGCTGGGAGAGTTATTTCCTCTTGGGTCGTCAGATAGCAGGAATTAAGATTGGAGCAACACCCATTCTGGATGTACCCCTAAGTCTATTGTTCACAACCCTAGGAATTCTTGTGCTATCTGTGTGTCAGGTGTCAACGGGCCCTAGCTCAGTTTGTATTATTGGGCGCATTCCTATTTTGCGCGAGGAACATAAAACTGGAAAAAGCAATTCTGATACCATTAATACAATTGACCAACTTGCAACTGTCAATTATGCATTTCAGGAGTTCCCATCTTTGCTGCAGTTATCGTTGGGTATGAGATGCAGTTCTTCCGTTCGGCCTTGGCACTTGGCAAAAACAGACACGGCTCAAAAGTTGTGTTTGAGGAGACGAAAGCGTTGCACAGGATTTATTTTTTGTTTACTTGACGAACACAATTAAGGGAACGAACAGGTTATGAGGAAGGAATAGGACCGATTGCGTAGCGGCCACTTTTTATCTTTTGATAAGTTGGAAGCAATGAATGACTCTGCCATCAGCTTCGGTTCGGACTTAGAGGCGTTCAGTCTTTCCCGAGCAGGTGATAACTTTGCAGCACTGACTAGTCAATCAGCTGCATTACCAATTGTCTGACCCAGCTGTTCCTCTCGTACTAAGCTGGATTACTGAGGCAAAGTTGTCATCAGTAGGATAAAACTAACCTGTCTCGCGACGGTCTAAACCCAGCTCACGTTCCCTATTAGCGGGTGAACAATCCGACACTTTGGGACTTCGTCCTCAATGATAGGATGAAGGGAGCAAACCTTAGTGTTCGAGTGAGCGCTATCGCTGCTTGCAGATTTGAAAGGCTAGAAAATTGTCGCTAAAAGAAGTTTTGCGATTGTTCCTTGATTGGCGACCTATTTGTTCGCGCAGCTTGAATAAAGCTGTAGTTTTGGGACAACGAGTCATTTGTAAATTCTCATGCTTGCAGACAATCACAGTGCGAATTTTGATTTGGATTGCGCTTCTTTTTCTCTAGAGTTTCTTTGTTCTTCGCCGCACGTGAAAACGTTGAAAATGCTGCCTGCCATGATGTGTTGCACTCTACTGAAGTTGAGGGGTTCGAATGGAATTCGCTAGATTCGCTAGCGTCGTACAGGTTGTACACGACTGTAGGCTCGGCTACAGTCGCGGGGCGTGTGAGCGGGGGAAGAGGTTCCGACGGCGGCGGACATGTCGGGGGTTAGGTGCAGACAAAATTGGGGACTGGTTACGAGTTAAAAACTGGAACGAAAAACAGGTACCAGGAGAGTGCCTGGTCCTGATATCAGTCAGTGACATGCAGGTTGGAGGCGGATCTCGAGACGAGATCCGGCATAACAGCTAGCTTGAAGCCCCGGTGCACTGCACAACGCATCCCCCCATAGTCGACCGACCCAAACTAGCTTGCCTTTTCTGTTCTCTCGTTTTCCTCATACACCACCGCGAACAGACACAACCTTCTGAACGTCTTTCGCACTGAGAATGACATCAAGTGAGGCTGAGCTGCACTTCACGGACCAAAAACAAAGAGCATGCAGGCACGTAAAACCCAAAGGTAAAAAGACAAGCACACCAGACGACTAAAGACACTTGACATAAACACTTCTCAGAAGTGAACAACCAAAATATCTCTATTTCTCATGGACATCGTTTCATATCTGTGAAGAAAAGGCTCAAGTGCTTGCATACCGTGACAGCTGCCAGTAAGCGAAAGCAAAGGTTGTCAACGGCGATCACTTTGTCACAATTTGCTTCATCGTCGCTTTAGTTTTTTGTGAAATGTTTCGACCGGTGAATTCACTGTAATTTTCCTCATGTAGCTCCTGTACTTCACATTTATCAGGTCTTATCTCTCTGAAGCGATGATGTCTGAAAATTCTTCGCAATCGTCGCTCTCCGAGAATTCTTCGCAATCGCCGTCTTGGGATTCCGATGAAGAGTATTTTGAAGACATGTTCAAATGTCTCCAAGAGCCATTCGACAACGACCGTTTCGCTTCGAAATTTAATCATCCTCAATTCTTTAACGGAGTAGTTCCTGAGATTTTGCGCTTATATGGCAAAGTTCCTCGTTCCACAACTTTACCCTGGGTGCAGTTGTTGGACGAAAATTCATGGAAAATTTATAGGTTTGAAAATGCCTTCAAAAAAGCAACATCTTCTTCGAGGCTTGAGCTCCTGCCGTCGTGTCCACGGACAAAATCCCCGCCGTCGTTGTAATCTAGGAGAAATTACCAACTTCCACGACATCGTTCATTACTCAATTTGAGCAAGAAGGACTTCTCGAAGCTTCTAGGGTTGAAGTTGGAGAATCCCATCAGCATCGAGATCCAAAATGTCCTTACAAGCATATGGAAACTCCGAATGGCTTTCGGCATCATAGAAGCTGGAGCAACACCCGAGTTTCACGCATTTCTGGATGTACCACTGACTCTATTGTTCTCAACATTAGGAATTTCCGTCAGACACGACGACATTCCTGACTCTATCTGTACTATTGGGCACATTCCTATTTTGCGTGAGGAACACAAAACTGGAGAAAGGGATTCTGATGCCTTCAATGCAATTGACCAACTTGCAACTGTCAATTATGCATTTCAGGAGTTTCCCATCTTGGCTGCAGCTATCATTGGAAATGAAATGCAATTCTTCCGTCATGCTCCTCTTCCTGGAATCAGAAGCAAAGTGTCCTGTAATTATTTAACTGATGGAAACAAACTTCCATACGTAAGAAATGACGATTTGGTGTTGCAACCATTAGAGTACTTTGAGGATCCATCAGCGGGAGACCAAGAACGCCTGCTCCGCTGTTTGGTGAATTGGAGTTTATATGTTGCTCATTTGCTGTTGCCGGCCCTTCTCGAGAAGCATGGAGCCTATCAGTGGAATAAGATTGGACCTGGATTTAAGCAAAGCATTGAAGTGAAACGTGACAAAACAGCAGATGGAAAATATGAAATCCACGTCACAAAAACTTTAGAAAAACTTGATGGATCTAAACTGGATATTTCTGCCATCAAAAGTTGCTATCAGGCTTTAGACAAAAGCGTGCTTGACGCCACTGTTCATGATGGAGCAACAGATCGAAGCTTTTCTGTGACGATGGAATACCTTCCGAATACTGGATTCCCTCGGAATGCTCGTGAATTCTTTGAAGCTGGTATTGCTGTCGCTAAGTGTCTTGAGATCCTCCACGACGCAGGACTTTGCCATTCTGACGTTAGATGGTCAAATGTTCGCTGTAATATGGACAGAACTCGGTTTTGCCTTCTTGATTTCGAATTCGCACGGAAAGACGGCGATGGGGGTGAAATTTTGTCGATGTGGCCACGAGGAAGAGAAAGAGAAATGGGTTCAAATTTCAGGAAGAGTGACGATATAATGATGACTCGCATAATGTTAGAAGACGCCATTGAAGTGTTACCGCCAAACATCCTTTTGGGAGTTTCATCCGGAGAGATGCTTCGCAACATGCGTATTAAATGCAAGCGTCCGGCCTTTATGAGTCGGTTGGCAAAAGCGGACACGGCTCAAAAGTTGCGTTCTATTCTTGAGGAGACGAGAGCGCTGTATAGGATTCAGTGTTTTTGTTTATCAAATGATTTAACAGAATTAAAGCAGCAAACACAACGAACAGGTTGAACCTTAGTTCCCCTGGTATCTCCATCTCAAAGATATACAGCTTGATGTAAGCTTGGTTTGTATCAATGCTGAAATCGTGAGCCTGTCTCCTCCCAACCCTCACTTTACTACAATTTCACTTGGTGTACGTTGTTGATTGATCTTCAATTGTTGATATCACAACAAGCCAAGTACCAGAACGTTGAAGGGAGAAACAACAAAGGGAGGCAACTGTAACGAAGAACAATCATTGAACCTTCTATTGAAGCTGTACTGTGTCCTTTGATTTGATTTTAACCTTTGATCGTAACGCTGTTCTATAGCAAAGATGTTTTCCATGAAGAATGAAGATTCGATCTGTTCCCGTAAAGAGATGAAAAATGCAAGTACTCTTGAGAACAGTTTTGATGCGATTGTCTCGACAAACAATTCTGAATGTTTGTTCTGTTTCTTGCATCACGATTCCATCCATTCCGACGACTGATGGATTTTTCGCTTGAATGATTTTCACATGAGCACCGTGGAAATCAGAGACAGCTAGAACATTGCACTGTGTCAAGAGATATGGAATCGGTGATGATGTCTGTTGATGTCCAGAAGGGGGCGCTGAGATATTCAGTATCTGTCCAATGTACTGCCTTCAGAGAGAAACAAACAATTAAGGATAGATGAAACAAACAATCAAGATGAAAGTCGGATGTATTAACAATCGCTCACCTCCACAAGGCATTCAAAACAAGACCATCATGAAAAGTCAAGTTGTCTTCTGTAATATCGAGCATTCCTCGCTTCTTCAATTCAGTTTTGGACAATTTGAACCTTTTCGGAAGCGGTTTGCGATTGCGACGTCTCTCCTTGTCCTTGGGATCCACATACGCGTCGAGTCGCAAGGTTTTTCCGTTGAGGTACTTCTGTGCATCATTTGGCTTTCCCAACCACTCGCCTACAACAGCCTCGGGTTCGTCCTCTGTGGTCCTCCGAGGAGCGTCATCCAAGGGCTCAAGAACCCTATAAGCCATTGACGGACCACAATGATACCAGATGAGGGGACAAGGCACATGGAGAAATTTCTAAAAAGTTCTAGCGGCAGAGGGAAGGCTCGACCCAAAAGAGCGGTGGAACAGTCCAGTGGGGCACAAGGGAGAAACGAAAAGACACAAGATACTACAGATTCGTTGGATGAAGCTGAATTTGATTTCGGAAGTCGTTTTGTCTCCGAGGATGCAGCGAGGAGTTCAGATTCTGATGGATTTCTTTTAGAGCTTGACGAAGAGAAAGATTTTACTCCTGGGAGGGATGAAAAATTGGATGATGAAAAATTTGATGAAAAATTGGATGTTCATCAAACGCCGGAAAAAGCGAAACGGCCTCGTTCAAGAGCGATTGAAACCAAACAGGCAAAACGGCGTAAAATCTCTCCGCTCCAATCCAGCTCGATGAAATGGAATGATTGCAATGAAATTGAAAATGAGCTGAGATTGTTTGATTTAGAATTAAAGTTTGGACCTTGTATTGGTATCACTCGAGTAAGGCGATTGGAGGATTGAGTGTTTTTTGAAAATTTCTATTTTGCAGCTCCATCGATTTAGACGAGCGGAGAAATTCGGACTCGATCCTCCAATTAGGATTTTGGAATTGATCCTTTCAAATCCTCCTCCCGAAGAGTAAGAGATGAATATGGAAAGCGTAATCAATAGTTTGTTGTTCCAGATTGTGTGTTTTAGAAAGACGCCTCTCCCACATTTAAGAGTTTCATGTTTTTTGAATTTTTTGGTTCATCCAATAATTTGTTCCATACATTGAACGGAAAACAATTAGAGTATGAAGTTAACAGCAGCCCATATCAGATGAATATTTTCACATTGT